CTTCAAGAAACTTTGTTTCGCCAATGTTTTGAAAAGGATAAGACAAGTGTCAAATTTTTTTGGAGGTGCAATAGTCTCGTGGTACAATACATACGAAAACGGAGTGTAGCAAAATAATGGGGTTGTATATCTTACTTCTTTTAACTGTGATATTTTTTTAGAAAAGAGGCATCTAATTGAGTTTTCTAAAATGTCACAATAGCTGGAGGACATATGGTGCAGCCGAATTTCATGATATTCATTTCTAGGCAACATTTTGGTAAAATGGAAATGAGCATATTACGAAAACAATTACCTTGAAGTAGAAAACTCAAGCTAATCTACCTTCTACCCTCCTTTTACAAAAAAAGGTTTTATTAAAGTATTATTAAATCTTGCTAACTTTTATGTTATGGTAGCTTGTTAGAAAGAAAGTCTTCCAGCAAGGCTGAGTTGTTGAACCTGTATCTTGTTTGCAACTACTATCTTTTCTTCTCTGCTTTAAAATCCAGCGTCTTCCGATTTTTTTTTCTGCCATCCTTCTTCCTATTCCTGCACGAGTCAGCTAGTATGTGGTAGATTAATTCGACTTCCATGTTGCCAGGTGTCTGCCAGTGGGGGATAGCGTTCTTCTCAAAATGTGAAAATTCAGGTCAGTATCGGCTAGATCTTTCTTTCAGATAGCAATCTACCATCGCCGGGATTGGGAAAGCTTAATAAAGGCCTAAAATTGGTCAGGTAAATCATTATGCGCCATTGGCCACTGTGATGTTAGGGAGACAAAACATTGTTGGGTTTGGTTTCAGAAACAACGTTGGGTTTTGTTCTCCTGCAAAAAAACTTGTGAGGCAATTGCCCAGCTATAAAAAAAGTTTTTTTCCGTCCTCTTCCGTTATTGTAAAACTCGTTTAGGGTTGCAAATGTACTGCTCGAGAAGTCTTTCTCCTTCAAGGAATTCTCTGCAAAACGCTTTTTATCTCAATTGATCAGCATAGTTGCCAGAAACTTTGCAAACCATAGTAATCCCCTCCTCTTCTCCACCTTCCGACCCGGGACAATTTTCGGGTGCAGCGGCAGCGGCCATTTTTTTCCTCAAGGACATCATCGTTTGATAAAAATTGAGCAACTCTTTGTTTGAAACGTGTTCACATAGTGTTTGCAACGGTTACAGTTGCGGATGCAATCTTGCTCTTCATAGGTGCCGCTTACCATTTCTCCGGTGAAAAATGCTGCCTTGTAGTTCAATCGCTTTCGTCCATCTCGCTGAATATGACGTTATCAGCATTGACGCAACCTAAAGGTGTGCATCCGTACGGTTTTGACGATTTCGTCGGGCATTCTCGGGGGAAGCTGCTCCTCGCAATTTCTCTTGTGCGATAAACAGTCGTAAGCTGGATTCTGGATGCTGTAAGGAAGTGGTTTGCTGAGCCTCTAAAAAATATCGACGAATGAGCTTATTTCCGTCGTATTGCTGAATTGCGCATGATTCTGTTCTGAGACCACAGGAATACAATGAAAAAGATGATGAAAGTCTCCTTTTTTTTAATTTGGGTCTGAGCTTCTTCGTTTTTTTAAGGTTGGAAACTTTAAGAAGCATTTTTTCTAAAGTTTTGCTAAAATTTTCTAGAAGCCTCTGAATCTATATTTTGAAAA